AACAAGAACAAATTCAGACAGTTAGTGATCTCTATCATAGATAAGCCATGCACTGACATGTCGTTGGCCATTTGGGTGAATGGTAAGGAGTATTCTAACTCTTCGTGTACTTGTACTCTTCATGAGCCTTTCACACTTGTACCAAGAAGAAGCATGCGAGCCCCAGTCACACAGGGGTTAAATTGCTTCCCAATGCTCACAGTTTCTCCCCTCCATAGGCTGCATGTGTTGACTCTCCTCTCGCAGGCATTTAGTAATTCACGCTGACTGTTTGTCTTAATATTGCTCTCCGTTTTGCAGTACATGGGAATTATGCAGTTTAGATGTCTGTATATTAAAAAAGGATTTAATTAAATCTGGTGCCTAGAACACCCCCCAGCACACTCGGATTCAGGCTATAATGACAAATTTACTTCCTATTTATTACCGTGCACAGGGGACCTTCCTCGCTGTCTCCTCTCCCCCCCCCCCCTTTAACTTTCCAAAATTCACATTCTCTGCATATTACCATAATATTCATTATCCCAACAAGGCATAAAATGTGACTTCCCACGAGTGCAATACCTAATTCCTCAAAAAGAGACAAAGATAGCGACATAATCATTGAATTACAACTTTTTACATCTGTTCATCTTGTCGGCATATAAATTTTGTTGTTATGGAGAAAAGCTGAAAAAGAGATTAGCAGGGTCCATATTGCAGGGAATGGTGGGCTGAAAATACAGACAGTGAAGTAGTGCTGGACAGCCACACAGTAAAAATGATTAAAAACTGGAATAGTATTGCTAATTGTATCAACATAATAACAAAGCCCTCTTCAGTATATGAATGTTCCTATGGCAATAGATGCGGTGATGCTCACAATAATAGGCAAGGCTAAAAATATATTGACGTTAATCAGTTTTTGAAACTGAAAGACACATTGGGGGGTTATTTGTGCATTGTTATTAGTGCAAAATCTGGTGCAGTTCTACATAGAAACCAATCGTTTCAGGTTTTTGTTGTCAAAGCTGAAGTTAGAAGCTGATTGGCTACCATGCACAGCTGCACCAGATTCTGAGCGCTCCAGTGTTGATAAATCTACCTAACTGACCAATGCTGCATGTTTTCTGTTCATGACTTTTTTATGATCATCCGTGGTGCAACCAAGAATGTACTTCTTTTGTCATTTGTACTGAAAGCCCTCAGTAAGTACCCCTGAACAAAAAATAATAATAGAAAAATAAAAATTATATATATATATTTATTTTTATGTATGCATATAGTGCATACGTATAGTGGGAGGCACAGTGTCCAAGTATAGCGGTCCCAAGGAACTGTTAGGTCCCATAATTTGTTTAAAGGGTGATACTGAATACGTTATTTAATAATCTGCTATTGGCTGGTCTGCAGCTATTTTTCTTTACGTTCAGGGTTTTACCATCCTGATGCTGTTATACAGAATTACAAGAGGGACACTGTTGCAGAGAAGAAAACAGGGTCATACTTACCTGTGATTGGAGTCCTTCGCTCAGCGGAAAGCTGGCATCCATTGGACGGAGGTCAAGCTTTCTGTATAGCTTGTATCCAGGAGAGTTTGCTGCACATTTTTACTCTAAAGCAGCCAGCTTCCCACCTGCCAAGCCCTTGGATTTTTTGCAGACACAAACTTTATTAGTGGTATTGTTGGTAGACATATGATATGAATTGGTTTATATATAACTTTGTGGTGTGGGCTTGAATCATCACGTTATTTTTTCGTTTATTTATGGTTTTAGTCCATAAAATTATTATTTTATATTAGGTTTTAACCACAAAAAAGTGAGCTGGAGTATTCCCGTATGGGTTTGAATTCTTTAATGCTACATATTTTGCCTTAATGCACAGAAAATCATGCCTACCGATTTTGTAAACACAGTGTGCGGTATGTGACAGTGTGTTAATCGGTATCACAATGCCCTGGGGGGGGAGGTGTTTTATCACCTGATGCCATAATGCACAAATCTAAATAGGTCCTAAATCTTTTCAATACACAGAAACCTGGGAAGGAATATGGGGCTGCCATTGTTGAAATCCTTCTGAAAATGTTGGTTGGCTGAAAAGCTGATCCAATTGTTACAATGTTTTTCAAGTCATTGTCCTGGAACAAGCGTAAATTTAAGTCAGAGCGACTTCAGAGGTCCTAATCTACATAACTGTTGCTGGTAAATAAGTCAGAAACTACTAAAGCCACTGGATCAGCAAGATAGCCAGGAAATTGAAGATTTCAGAGGAAAAGACAGAAATGTCTGCCTCCATGTTTTTCTTACTATGGGTCTCCTTAAAGGATCTGGAAAGCTTTATAAATACAAGCACATGGACATGTTGCACGCCAGTGATTTTAGCTTAAAGGAGAATAAGAATTCCTTTCTTTACGTCACTTAAAATTGGCAAGCTATGAAAGTGTTCAATCAGATTTCAAAATGCCCCCTTTTACTTTAATCACCATCTTTGCATTGTAAATGCAGTCAAATTTACAAGACTACATAACCACTATATGGCTTAAACAAAACGCCAATCTAAGCCTTGAGCATTGTAGGAACCGTGATCAACCTGCATTTCTCAGAACACCCAAAAAAACTTTCATTGGCATAAAAAAAACCTTTGCTTGCCCAAAACGGATGGTGAAGTTATCTCTGCATTGCTCACATAACAGAAGCAGGCTTGGTCAAGAACAGAAGGGAACAATAAATCTAAGTGTAGCAGGTTAAAGCTGCTTTGATGGTTAAAAAATAAGCAACTCACAAGAGTTAGAAGAGATCGCGCCTATCAACACATAAGTCCTGCTCTGCAGACCTGGGTGGCCCCACTGGGTGTCTCTGTAGCCTGTGTGGTACGCCGGCAGTGGCACTGGTGGATTTCAGTGTGCCCTATTTCATTGAATTTGTGGTGTACTGTCTGTCCTGCCCTTGCCCTTGTTATACATGGGTTGCACAATCCGTACTTTGAGGAAGAGATTTGGGGAACATCAGAGGTTAGTGGAAAAAGGTTCTGACAAACATAGCATCCCAAAACACTTTTCAGAATTTCATGAAAAATCGTCTGATGGCCTTTCAGTTTGGAGTCTGGAAGCCATGCCACGTTTTAAATGCCTGTACAAGAGGGAGGCATACTGGATTTATAGATACCTTAGCCCCCAGCAGACTGAATGAGGAATTGGAAGCCCACTCCATCCTATAGACAAGTCAGAGACACAGCACTTACCAGCCCTTGTATTATTACCCCAGGACCAAACAACTTAGCTTCAGGTGGAGGCCCATGATTAGTTCATTATCATTTCGGGTACTACCATCCCTCATATAATTCACTACATATACATTTCAGATATAGATACACGTGTATATGTATATATATATATATATATATATATATATATATATATTACCTTATTTCCTTTAACTGCTTTAGCAGATTTTATTGTTTTTGTACCATATTAGATATAATTTTTTCCACTGTCACTGTTAGTATATATGTTGACAAAATAATTACACCATAACTACTGCTAATTACACTGTCCGATCTGTCCAAACTGGTAGGCCCAAATAACATCACTTTTTTGTTTTTTTTCTTATTAGCCTTTTTTTCTTTCTTTTGGATGACACATATGTGTACTGTATTTTTAATTATTTTAATCATTAATGTAATTATTTTCATACAGGACCCTTAAGATCTGATTATTACAATCAATGGTGAACTTGCCTGTGAAGTACCAGCAAAAAAAAATAGTTTCAGTAGGTGGCATTTGTATAATGTTTTTAATAATAGCCATTTTAATATGTAATCATTTCTTTGTATGTGTCAGCGCACAAGTTAAGGTGCCTCTTTAAGCGCGATCTCGTTAAACCCTTGTGAGATCCTTACTTTTTAACCATTAAAACAATTTTAATTTTCTACACTTAGATGTGCTGTTCCCTTCAGTTCTTGTGACTACAGAGTCCCTTCTAGCTCGTTTGGAACTGGCTGCTCTATAGTGTTGGCATACTGTGAGTCCTTTACCCAGAGACGTTTTTATATTCCCCTATGGATGTTCTATATGTTTACTATGGGCAGTCTATCATGGACAGCTTCATTCCATATACAGGTCTCACTCTTGTGCACCAAATACCTACCCATGCTTAGGCTTGGTCAAGAAGACAGCACCATTTTGAAAGAGCATAAGAATAAGCTACCAGTGCCAACAGAGTCAAGCTGCTCATACACCTTATATTCTAAATGTGCAATTTATATTCATTCTCCTTTAGATCTTCATAAACCATGTAGTATATATGCCCTACTGATCCACTCAAAAAGTTAGGAACAAGGAAGGAACAGAAATGAGGGAAAACACAAAATAGTAGAGTTGTTGCTGTAGGTTATTTCCCCTCATTTTGGCATTATTTCTATGTACTTCTTGTTGTGTTTCCAGGACAGCAAGTTTAGTGAAATCTTCTGAATAAGGGACAAAGGAGGTAATAAACAGAAAAACCTTGGTTCCTCTTTAAGGATGCCATGACCCCAACTCAGAAAACCATAGTGGATGTCTCATAATTCCTGAATGCAATTCAAATAGACTAGAGGAAAGAGGCCCTCCATCCTTCAATTTTTGTTGTTATTTCCCCCCATGTATGTCCTCCTCCACATGACTATCCCATTAATTGTTCTTCTGCTCCTTCCTCCATTCCCACCCCGATTGTCATGATCTGTTTACCTTTATCCAATAAAAGCAAAACAAGGAGAACATAGGTCGCAGCTTATCATTACCAACCCAACTGAAAATATAGCAGTTTGCTATGTACATCCACAGACAGTCGAAGTGACAGATTGCTCACTGGTTATAAACTTTGTATACTCAGACTGTAAACCTGGAGACTTTTACATATGCATTGCTATCTTTACACTTGTGTTATTATCGTATAGTGGTCAATTTTTCAGTTTTTTCTTGGCTGGAGTCACAGCAGCCATTGCTGACTACCTACTCCCCTGTCTGTTATGCTGATACTTTAACCTCCCTGGCGGTATTCCCGAGTGTAGCTCGGGGTAAAGTTTCAGTACCACAAGCGGTAACCCCGAGTTACACTCGGGAATACCCTGCAGCGCTGCTCCGGGATCCCTCGATCACTTACCTTGTCCTGCGCTCCCGCGATGTCCCTCCTGCAGTGTCCCCGGCAATGTAATCCGGCGGATGCCGGCATCTGTCATCTGGGTTCCGTCCCCTGCGAGCGTCGGGACATACGGGGCACGGAACGGCAGGAAATTTGAAAATGACAAAAAGTGACATTTACTAAAATCTCATAGTATAACATTACTGTATCAAACCATTTCACATACATTTTGTCCCGAGTGCTTTGTCCTGTGCCCTGCCTGCATTCTGACTGTTCTTTCTGCCTGGAAACTGAGAAACGTCCATGGCATTCAAAAAGCGTCCCTTTAGGTCAAAAGCGGTTTTAGACCAGCTAGAGAACAGCGATGGTAAATCAGAACCACTTGCAGAATTGAGTGATGATTCGTGGGGAAATTCGTCATCAGACACTGAAAACGATTTTGCGACTTTGCTCAGTGATGTGCGAACTTGGCGCTATATTTCAAATTTCAGTGTTTTTGGTTTGATTATATTATTGAATTACATTTATTATTATATTATTTTTTTTAATGATTATTTATTAAATTATAATTTATGATTTCGTGTTTCAAGTTTTATCATATCCGGGATGTTTACTAGACTCTTGTTCGGACAGATTTCAGTGAGTTATTCCTAAAAAAATTACAGGCCTACAATAAAAAAAATACATATTTCCATGCAAAAAAATGTACCGCTTTGAGCACAGAAATATGGACATAATCAGACTGCTAGGGAGGTTAAAGGTAATTTTCCCTTAGCTTAGAGAATGACGTTAAGCTTTACTGGCTTCCATCAACCAACCATGCGAACAAAAATATTGTGGGGTTTTTTTTTCCTTGCATGTATACTTTTCACCACATTTACTAAACTAAAGGCAACTTCTCTTTGCCAAGCTGACAGCCTATTTGACTTTAGAAAATCGACCCCTTTGTCTTCAATGCTGACCTGAAACAAGAATGGTAATTCAGAAAGCCAGAAAATCCTACGTATATACTTGTTCCAGATCAGAGACTCAAAGTGCTGAAGCAAAAGATTCAGTATGACAGTCAAGCAGCTAGCATTCTCAGAAGCAAAGGGCAGTAATGGAAGCGTCTTTGATTCTCTTGTGACAGGTTTCCTTTAAAAAAAACAAACAGACTTGTATTTGCATAAAACCTTTTTTTGTGCATCGGCTACCTGCCTCCTGAGATTTGTCCAGCCCTGACATCATTCAGTGAGAATGACATGGTAATCACAACAGAATTATATTCATGTCAGTCTGAATAAACTAATAGATTGCACGTAACAGAAAATCCTTGGAAAATAACCCTTTAAGCTTTGCATGAGCCACAATATAATGTGGAATCACAAGCCATCATGAAGCTTCAACTAATAAATGTATTCTGCTGCATCTATAATTAATATCTTATTTGGTTAGAGTGATGCATTAATGTGCACATCACAATCCTACCTATTAGCCATCAGACATAAATCTTGGGTAAAATGGTTCATATATACGGCATTCCGTGTATGTATGTGTGTGTTACGCTGGATGATATATGTGTGTACAGAGTCGTCTCTGGCTGGCAGTCTAACTGTTTGTTTTCACACGCTGAGCTGGGTATAATATTCTCGGCTTGAATCTTTATTACCCATCTGGCACAGCCCGTGCCTGGTATCATTCATTCCATTTACACAAACAAATATCAGGGCTGAACGTTCGCTGCACAGGGGCTGAGGGAAGCTCACCTTCCAGCCTCCTCACACTGAGAAGCTGCCCGACCAAAGGGACACCAAGTGTGCAAGAGGTCAAGAAGAGGAAGAGTCGGAAAAAGGGAGAATAGGCAAATTAGAGACAACAAGGATAGATTTAAAAAAAAGGTACAGATGGGGAAATCACAAGAAGCTGGCAGACATAAAAAAAAGAATGACCGGCAGAAGCAGTAAAGGAGCTGCTTAAATATACTGGGGAGATCGGATCTATTAATATTAAGAAAGAGGGAGCTATGCTTCAGACATGATTGAGACATTTCCTTCTTAATTATTTATTTTTTTCACAAAACAATATATAGCAAAAGCACTGCCTAAGAATTAAAACTTAAACTTTAACAAGATTTAAAAGAAGGACTAAAGCAGCAGACAAGGATTACAAAATGCAAATTAAATTCAGTTATTCTCTTCTAAATAGACCAGCACAATCCTTCAGCTTTAATAACCTTCTACACCAAATGCTCTTGGAATGTCTATAAACTACATAAGACATGTCTGACCTGAGATTAGGCTACACAGAAAGGCTAAAAATAAGTCTATACATCCATTTTCAGTAGACAACCTGGGTGTAAAGGCATGATTATTATTATTACTACGAGTTTATATAGCGCCAAAGGGTTTGCTCAGCGCTGTACAATAGGGGGGGACAATACATGGCACAGTACAACAACAACAACAAACAACGTACGAGGGGTAAGAGGGCCCTACTCTTACGAGCTTACAATCTAGGAGATTGATAGTAAATAAGGTACAAAAAGTCAATTTCCTAGTTTGTTTGAGAGAACTGGAGATGCTGTCAACTTTTTTGAACTGGTCCAACTGAAATTAGCAAGGCTCACCATAAGCTAAACCAGCCTTTTTCAACTAGGGTGCCTTAGAACATTTGTAGTTACACAAAGCCACAAGTTTTCATTGTGCACCATTATAATCTTCCAGCCACTAACATCCTAACAATCAATGATGCCATCAGTTGATAAGGAGGACGTTGGGTGTCTGCACACCATGCTTCTTTGCCCCTCTCCTGCTCCTCTCTATCAGCACTGGACTATGAACTCTCCTTTCGGCCCCACATCCAATCAAAAGTCTGCCACCTCAACCTACGCAACATCTCCAAAATGCGTATTTTGGAGATATTGCTCATTAGTTAAGAAAGAGCGTTCTTTCATAACTAATGACACCACAAAGCTTCTAGTTCACTCCCTGGTCATTTCTCACCTTGACTATTGCAACTCCTCCTCATTGGCTTACCTTTACATAGGCCATTCCCCCTTCAATCCATCATGAATACCGCTGCCAGACTCGTCCACCTTACCAACCATTCAGTGTCTGCTACCCCTCTCTGCCATTCCCTTCATTAGCTGCTACTCACCCAATTAATTAAATTCAAAATACTAACAATAACTTACAAAGCCATCAGCCGCCAGCTGCATCACTAACCTAGTCTCAAAATACCATCCAAACTGTTCTCTTTGTTCCTCCCAAGACCTTCTGCTTTCTGGCTCCCTTGTCACCTTCTCCCATGCTCACCTCCAGGACTTTTCCAAAGCCTCTCCCATCCTATGGCACTCCCCACCCCGATCTGAAAACCCTTCTCTTTGGAGAAGCCTATCCCACCTCCACCTAACAACTGTATTTCCACTTTTTCCATCAGCTCATCCCCCACAGTTATGACTGTTTGTAGCACTTGACCCTCCCTTTTAGATGGTAAGCTCCAACAAGCAGAGCACTCTGAATCCTCCTGTATTGAATTGTATTGTACCTGTACTGTTGACCCTCATGTTGTAAAGTGCTGCGCAAACTGTTGTCGCTAAATAAATCCTGTATAATAATACTTGCTTCACAAGAAAAAAATCACCTCTGACGTTGAATGTCCTACATGCGCGGATGTTGCTTACATTATGTAAAACTTTTAGTTTAGTTTTTTACTATTTAGAATGGGGTGCCTCTAGATTGTCTATAAGTATAAAGTGTGCTCTGACTAAAAAAAAAGATTGAGAAACACTGAACTAAACACATTGTTCATTGGTCTCACATATACAGCCAGTTCTAAAAGATACTAAAAGAAAAAATATCAACCATATGAGGCTCAGCTGTGAGAGCAAGAAAAGAAATCTTATGTTAACAAAGGTAAATAAGAAGTAACAGGAAAAGTAAAATGAAAGTAAAAAAGGTAGAAACTAATTTGATCCCCACTCACCAATGTCTAATTTATAATTTCCAAAGTAAAGTAAAGATAAAAACAAAAACAAAGTAAAGATAAAAAAAACAAAGAAAGGTAAAGATAAAGTAAACTTTATCATTTCCAAAGTAACTCCAAAAAATAGAGATGAATGTTGCTACATTATGTAAAACTTTTAGTTTACTTTTTTACAATTTAGAATGGGGTGCTTTTAGATTGTCTATAATAAGTGTGCTTTGACTGAAAAAAGGTTAATAAACACTGAACTAAACACAATCTTCATTGGCCTCACATATACAGCCAGTTCTAAGAGATATATTTTACTGTACGACAATGCTTGCTAAAATTTGTTCCAATTTCCAAATTAGAGTTGGGGTATGGCCAAGGATGTTTTTATGTTCAAGGCTGGCCTTAGGTACTTGAACATTTATGGATTAAATGAAGATGTAGTGACAACTTAAAAAAAAAGGTGATAGTAACAGAAAGAGAAGCTATTGTGGCAGAATATGAAGAAACATCTCTGAAACGTAAGGGAATAATTCTTAGGAAGGAGCTACAGATAAGAAAACAGGTGGGGAACAAACTATGGTTGGCGATTGAGGTAAGTGTAAACACTGGAAACCACAGCATGAAGTGGACAACAGATAAAATAAAAGAAGAATGCCAGTGAGCTGTGATTAAATTTAAAAAGAGGTGCCGGTAAAATAAAAAATATCAACCTCATGAGACTGAGCTGTGAGAGCAAGCAAAGAAAGCTTCAGTTAGCAAAGGTAAATAAGAAGTAACTGGAAAAGTAAAATGAAAGTAAAAAGGTAGAAACTAATTTGATCCCCACTCAACATCTAATAGACCTTTATCATTGCCAAAGTTACTTCATAAAATGGAGATAAATGTGGAAGCACTACCTTCAAAAAGCATGCTGTGACATGTCAAGTGGTGGTCTAGAGACTCTTCTATCTGCATTTTATAGGGTAACTTCCGGAAACAATAAAAGCCTGTGAGTGCAGGATCAAAGTCATTTCTTCTATCTCCTCCAAGTTTATCAGATATTTACTGAGATGTTCAAAGCATCCTAGGGTTTCAAGCTTAATGGAAGTGAATAATCCTTGAGATTCTGGAGAGTTGACCTACTGTGACCTGTTTTCTCCATTTGGGGAAGGGGGGAGGAGAAGTAACTGCGGATCACTTTGTCTATCTTTATATGGTGAAACAGTGAACGTAATTGATGATCTACACAGCTTTCTATAGGGATATGGCACAAGCTGGCTCATTCCCCAAAGCTG